ATATGTCCACAAGACCTATGAACCATAAATAGTAAGTGTCACGTGCAACGTAAACTGTCACATGACCATGAAGCGCTGAAACCGTAACACAAGCTCCCCCTTCCAACCGGCAAGACCCTTGACGACCACTCACCAAGCTAACCCCTCATCGTCCACCGCGGACACCTACATAGTCGTAGACTGGGATGGTGGTATGAGGTACGACCTCCCATCCCTCGTCGAGATCCTCTTGGGGTTAAGGATGGAACTCGGTGGGTGCCTAGTGCGAGATGGATCCGTCTTCATAGAGGACCGCCTTCAGTGCTTCGACACCGTCGGTAAGCCATCCAGGCCGCTCGATCATGGCAACGAGGGGTTGGAAGATGACCGGCGTGAACTCACGAGGTGTCTTGGCATCTCCGTAGTGGACTTGATCGGAGAACGTCCTGAAGAGTTCGACCTCGTATTGCTCAACACCTTCTTCCTTGCCCGCGAAGCGAACGCTGATGATGCACATCCGGTTGGGTGTTGGATGCCAGTCGTGCATGCCTGGGATGGGTGGCGGATAGAGCAGAGCGACCCATTGGCTGAAGACGCGATGAGGTGAGTCTTCCGAGTAGAGGTGCCATGCGACCTTCTGATTGTCCCAAGTGAAGACGAAGGCATGGAAGGTGGTGAAGTCGCCCGTGCCCGTACGATGGATGTAGAGTCGATGGCCATCGCGTTCCATGAGGAATGTTAGTGGCGTGGCGATGAAGACATCGTAAGGTGATGCTACGTCTGGGGCGATGAGCGATACCTGTCCTGCCGCTGGGTTGCTTGAAGACTTGACCGTTCGAGCATATCTTATCTGCTCCTTGATGGTGATGGCTGGTGCAGGTTGTGATCCGTCCTTCGGTGGGTCATTGTAGGGGTAGATGGTGCCATTGTGGTGGGGATAGCCGGGTCGTTCATCGTCGGCATTCCTTGCCTGTTCATCGTCATTACCCCAGGCTCTCCCCATCGTCCAAGATCCTCCCGTCGTCCAACGACCTGTCTCGTCTTCATCGTCTCCTCAACGTGCACTCCTCCATGATTTGGCCAATGCTTCGTCGCTAAGGTTGCCTAGAAGCGGGAGTTCGTCTCCATCGCTGTCGAGAAGTAGTCCTGGCTCCGATGCGCTGCGAGTGATGGTGGTGGTGACACGGATGTTGAGCGACATTGGCGGAGGTGGTAGAGTGGGGCGGTTCTCTTTGTCCCAAGGGTAGATTTCCTCGTAGAGTTCCCACTCGAGTAGGAGGAGGCGATGGTCCAGTAGAGGGAAAGGAGGGCCGCTACTTATACCTTCAAGCAGCCATTCCTCTTCTTCGTACCAGTCTGTGATGTGAATGTTCGCCATTCCCGTACGTTCTTCTGCTGGTATTGTCATTGTCCTTGATACGGTACCATGTATGACACTGAATGCATCCAGAGCGAATGAGAGTGCTGCCGGTAAGATATCAAAGTGTAGCGGATGATCTAGAGCGTACGACGGTGGGAGGATTCCCACTGGAAGCCCGGTGTAGATGGCTGTTAGGATAGTCCAGCGTCGATCTGGCTCTAGCCGGGGCAGGTGGAGTTCCTCCATTAGGTACATTGGGTAATTCATTCTCATGAACGTTCCCCATGTTCCGTCTAGGTCGATATCAATGTCGTCCTCTAGTGTTACCTTCGGCTTGTCCGTTTGAAATGGAAACGGGTAAGGAATTCTGATTAGCCCGCTGGGGCGAGGGGTTAGATATGGCTGTCGTCGAGTTGACCTGAAGTCTTCCAGGAGGTGGACTTCGTGGACGTCGTCCGCTCTCTGGATGAGATGGTCCATCATGATTTGGATGGGTCGTGTTGAATTTGACGTTGGTATGGTCGAAGTCGGCAAGGTCCTCAATGGCGAATCCAGCCCCTCTGATAGTGAGATAGACTCCGAGCTGTTGGAAGACCTGGTAACGATGATCGTGGGAGGAGTGGGATTCGACGTCTTCAAGAACTTCGATAAGATGCGCAAAAGTGGTGATAGCAGATTCGAGAAACTCGGGATGTTGCACGGGCATTGAGGCATGGACTGAGGGTTCAGGCCAAGTTGTGCTCCTTTTTATACTCGTTCAGCAGCTCTCCTGCATTGTCCATTTCTGTCTCTTTTACCCACGACCTTTCGCTGAGTGGATATCCAGTCCATTTTACCAGATATTCGTTCTTGCTGTGCCGTAGTCGATGTCCAATTATAGACTCGATTTCAAATTCTTCCTCTCCTTCGATAAGATCTGGAGGCGGTGTTGAATAACTTTCCCCATGTGTATTAGTCTGCCGATACAGCGTGAGTAATGCAGCATGGAACACCGGATGGATCTTCCATGTCGTTGGAAGGTCAAACTTGAACGAGAGTGGTCCCAGAACCTCCTTGATCCTGAATGGTCCTTCTCGCTTCAGCGCTAGTTTGTTTGATTTGTAAGGCCTTTTCAAATTGGTGGCTTCCAGCCAAACCTTGTCTCCTTTCTTGAACGTCGGGGATCCTCCTTTGATCCTGGCAGATACACGGGCTTTTGCCTTGATGATTCCTTCTGTGGCCTCCTTGCGGACTATGCTGAGAAGCTTGAGTCTTGCATCCATGTCGGGGATTTCATCCTGAGGAAACAGTTCTGACATTCCTCTGGGCTCGTAACCATACCATATTTCAAATGGTGACTTCTTTGTCACTGAATGAGTGTGAAGATTGTGCGCGAATTCTGCTTCAGATAGGAATTGATTCCATCGATGCGGTTGCTCAGCACAATACATTCGAAGGTATGTTTCCAATTCTTGATTCATTCGTTCCGTTTCACCATCCGTCTGCGGATGATAGGCTGTGCTCATAGCCGACTTGATCTTGAGGGCAGTGCACAGTGCTTGGAAGACTTTGGATGCAAATTGCGTTCCGCGGTCAGAGATGATCTTGTCGGGTAACCCGAAGCGTTTCCAAACTTGTCGTCTGAATAGCTCGGCAGTTTCCGAGGCAGTGATCGTTTTCTTGCAAGGACATAGAATTACCCCCTTACTAAGCCCATGGTCTACCACGACCATTATTGAATCGAAGCCTTCGCTTTTTGGTAGATCTGTAATAAAATCCACGCTAACTTGCTTGAAAGGTAGGGCCTTGGGCGAAGGGCCGATGGGCTGCAGTGGAACTTTGACCTTGTTTCGAACAGCTTTGGATTGCTGACATATGGCACATCCATTGACGTAGCTTTGGATGAAACGATACATTCCTGGCCACCAAAAGTCTTTACACACAAGTTGGTGCGTAACCCAGATTCCTGGATGACCATGGGGAGTGGCCTCATGGTATCGCCGAACAATTTCCTTCTTCAAGGCTGTATTGTTTGAAACATATACGCATCCATGGATGGTGATTAAACCGTTGTCAGCATCCTTGATGTCGTCCTTTGTCATTCCTCGTGGAACTGGGAGTTCTTCCATTAGGCCGTCCTTGTACGCAAGTACCGATGGATCTTTTGTTAGTGCTTGTCAGATTTGTTTCACCATATCTGTATCGATAGCACCAATAAAGAGATCGTCGGGTAGCAGGATTGCAGGTGACTTGTTGTCTTGTCGATTGTCCAATTCAGACAACCGTGAAAGCGCGTCCGCTTGCACCATTTGTCATCCTGGTGTATGGACAATCTTGTAATTGAACATAGACAAGAAGAGTTGCCATCTTTGCTGTCTTGGGTTCAAGTCCTGCGGTTGCCGAAAGTACGTCAGATTCTTGTGATCTGTGCGTATGAGAAATGGCTCCTTTGTTCCGTCGAGATAGTGTCTCTATTCCTTGAGTGCGCGGATGATTCCTAGCAGCTCCTTATCATAGATTTGATAATTTCGTTCCGGGTCAGAGAGTGACTTGGAATAATAGGCGCAGGCATGGAGGTCGCCATTATCGTCCTTCTGCATGAGGACTGCTCCTGTAGTGAAGTCCGATGCATCAGTTTCGATGACAAAAGACTTGTCTTTGTCTGGCATAACCAGTATTGGTGCCTTGCCGAACTCGTTTTTGAGATAGTCGAAAGCGGCTTGTTCTTTGCTTGTCCAATGGAACACATTCCCGCCCTTGGTCTTGGTAAGATCAATTAAGGGTCTTGCGATTTCAGAATAGTTCTGGATGAACTTTCGATAGAAGTTGGCAAATCCTAGAAATGCTCGCACTCCTTTTACATCAGTTGGAGCTTCCCATTTGATGATCCCATTGACTTTTGCTGGATCCATCTGAAGTCGTCCTGAGAGGAGAACTAGTCCTAGGAAGTCAGTGCACGTAGTCTTGAACACGCATTTTTCCAGCTTGAGATAGAGGTCATTGTTGACCATTTTCTTAATGACTCGTTCAAGCTTCTTTTCCAACTCCTTTTCGCTTTCGGCAAGGATGAGAATATCATCCAGATAGCATAGTAGCCATCCTTCGGCAATTTCTTCTGCGAATATTTCATTCATCATTCGCTGAAAGGTTGCCGGTGCATTGCACATTCCAAAGAACATGACCGTGGGTTCGAACAGTCCACGCTTGGTGATGAAGGCAGCCTTCCACTCGTCTCCTTGACGAATTCGGACATTGGTGTATGCTCCACGAATGTCAAGCTTCGCGAAATACTTGGCATGGCGGAGTCGATCCATCAGGTCCGATATGAGTGGGAGTGGATAGGCGTCCTTAATTGTTCCTTCATTCGCATAGCGGTAGTCCTGGCATGGATGTAGCCCACCGTCTTTCTTTCCTACAAAGAAGAAAGGTGATGCCATTGCGGATTGCGAAGGACGAATATATCCTTTCGCAAGGTTTTCGTCGATAAAGGTATTCATAGCTTCTTCTTCCGGCTTTGATAGATTGTAGACCTTTCCTCGTTTAGGAACAAAGTCCGGTTTGAAGTCTATGTTGTGATCGTAAGATCTATGCGGTGGTAACCGTTCCGATGCCTTTTTTTCGAAAATCTGCTTGTACTTAAGAAGATATGATGGTATCGTCACTTTCTTCTTGGAATTCTTCTTCTCCTCGAGTGCTTTCTTTTGCGCGAGTTCCTGCGCTTTATTTGACGCCTTCCAGAAGGTATCACCTTTTTTCCACGTTTGGTGATGATCCTTTTTGGAAGTATTCGTTCGTCGCAGTGCAAGATACTGCATCTTCCTTTCTCCAGCCGAGCGATGTTCTTTCTCTTCAAGTGTTACTTCTTGGAGTATGCCAGTATCAGGTTGATAGGCGAAAATAGCTTCTTTTTCTCCTATTTCCTGATCCTCCAAGTATGGTGCGTTTTTTATGTATGCAAGCAAGAGGTCCGAGTCAACGATTCCTGCTTCATCTGGTGCAGGATCGACATCAGACCAGTTGATCCTTCTCAAGGTTCGCTTGGCTTTGGCTTTCTCCTTTTTGGTGATTGGAAGACGAACAGCGTCTTTATCTTTGAAAGGCCATGGTTCCTCGTCTGGTACGTCTTCTACATATTGACGGACCTTGACTTCACCTGTTTGCCAATTGATAATTGGGTTGTGATCATGAAGCCACGTATTGCCAATGATCACGTCTTCTTTTCCTAAGTCGATGACAAGGAAGTCATCATTTCATTCATATGTTCCTGCATGAACAGTCCCTTTGAATTGTTGGTTTGTAGAGTTGACGGGACTTCCATCGACACTGCGAATCTTGACTTCCTTCTGCGATTTGAGAAGATGAAGTCCTGCTTTCTTCGCAAACGATTCATTGATGAACATTCCTTTCGCTCCAGAATCGACTAAGGCTCTTGCTGGAATACTTCGGGTTCTTGTGCCATCGTAATCTTGGAAGACGATATTGAGGTATATTTTGCTTCCTCGTTTGATATCGCCTCGTATGATTACTTCCTCAGGGACCGTTTCTTTATCTGGGTGCCACGAGATCCCAACGCGCACCCAATTCCAAAACCCTCTGGATCGTCTTTTTCCATGGGTGGTGGATATCGGCGTGCATATTCATATCTGTCTGGATTGTCTCTGAATTCCAGAAGATCATCGAGATGGGGCATCGTCATATGGCGTTTCTTAATACGGTCTCCTCGCATTTTGAGTGCATCTTCTCGTCGTATCCTGGCGAGTTCTTCCTTGGGAATGAATCTTCGAACCACATACGACTCTTCTTCTGAGTCGCTGGATTCGTCCTTGGTTCGCCTGATTTTTCGAACTGTTTTGGTTTTAACAGGGCGAGCTCTTCGTACCCTGTGAACAACCGTTTCTTGTTCGGATACTTCTTCAGATTCCGATAATTCAGATTCTGATTCTTCCGATGATGAGGATTCTGATTCTTCCTGTTCCGACTCCTCTGAATTATCCTCAGAGTCGCTTTCTTTGACTCTCTTTACTCGTCGGTGTTTCTTCTCCGTTCCCTTGGAGTAAGATTTAGTCGGCTTGGAAGTCTTTCTTCGTCTGCCAGATCCGGAGTATTTCTTCGTCCTGGAATTGGACGTCTTGGTCTTGGCATATGGAGCTGTCTTTCCTGAGTGATCTGGTGCCGGATCATATTCTGGACTCGTGCATTGTGCGGCGACATGTCCTGATTTTCCGCAGTTGTAGCAGAGTCCACCCACAGAACGTTTCGGATGGGTTTCTGGGGAGATCTGGTCAACCTCCATTGTGTCAGAGTCTTTCTCCATCCTTCTTCCGCTTCCTGAAGAGCCTGAGATGAACTTGAAGATATTTGTCTTTCCGCTATGAATGTCCTGGAGGTCCGTGACCTTTCTTGCGGCTTTGCATGCTGCTGCATAGGTTGTCGGCGGATTTTCTGTGATGAAGACGTTTTCTGCAAGTTTCTCATTAAGGCCTTGTTTGAAGTGGATGAGCTTGGCGTATTCGTCGTCGATTTAGGCATATCGGTAGAGGATATCGAGATTTCTGATATACTTGTCGACGGTTTGCTTGTCCTGCTTGTACTTCCCTTCGAGAAGTACTTGCCAAGCTTGGTCCTTGGTTGCGACACCTCCATACTTTTTGGTAAGTGTCATCTTAAAATCTTGGTATGTCCCAAGATTGCTGTGTTTCGTCATTTGGTTGGCTTCTCATGACTCGGCCCACTTTCCTGCCGTGGATGAGGAGTCGATTTGAGAGAGGACGAAGGCAATTTTGCTGAAGTCATCACTGTAGACTCCATCATTTGCCTGTAGGTATCGTTCCACGTTTCGGAGGAACGATGCATATTCTCGTTTGTCTCCCCTAAACTCCTTGATTTTTCCCATCTTCTTTTCCCGTGCCGCTGGCTGCTTGGGGATTGCTCCCTGGTATTGTGCATAGAGTCCCAATGCTTGTTGGTACTCATTCCAGATGGCGTCAGTACAAGTTCTGGGATGGGCTGGTGGTCTGAGAGCCACGTTGTATCGTACGTGGGTAGCCATACTTCCTGAGAACTGGAAGCTACCGGTTGGTCTTGATCTGGTTGAAACTGAACGTGTGATTCCAGGCGCATTGGGTAGATGGGGTGGCTGGTCCCTTCTGAGATGTGTGATTCCTGGATAATCTGGTCGAGTAGTGCTGTCCGAGATAGATCTCTCGAGCGGGACTGCTCTTGTTTCGAGAGGATTAATTGGCTGTAATCCACCGGTTTCCTGTGAACGCCCTTCCTGTCGTTCAACTTGGATTGATTCTCCTCGTGGAAGTTCTGTTGCTTCGGTAAAGATTTGTAGAGATTCTTCGTCGAAGTTTTCCCTTCCGCGAAGAACCTGTCTTAATTCTTCGATTTCACCCTCGAGCTGCTCTAGTCGTGGGCAATCTGTTGGTTTGTAGGCTCATCCTAGCCTAAATTGAAGTCGAAGTTGAACCGCTTCTGTCGACTTTTTGTCATAGAGGTCTGTTAATTCCTCTGTGGTGGCATCACTGAGCGTAAATGGTGGTACTTCTTCGTCAGAAGTCACCAATCGTGTTTCTGGTGTATCTTCTTCAGATACCTGATCGTGTTCTCGTAAAGTATTTGTTTTTTTTTTGAATCTTGTCTTGTCCTAAGATTCCTTGATTGCCTTCCCTGGGAAGGGCTTTAGCACATCTTCAATGTGTGCCTCAGATGAGGGCTTCTCTTCTGGATTACCACACGAGTAATCGCTAGTGCTTGAGTTCGTTCCTGTAACAAAAACTCCGCACTCCTGCCTTTTGATCTTTGGTGGCCCTTAACCAATCTTGTACGCCTTTTGATTTGCCTGGTAACGTCAACCAGTCGGAGTCCTAGTCTTCTTTTCTAGACCTCGGATATCCTGTGCTCACTTTTTAAAGTGCCCAGCTAGTCACTTCGAACTCCTGCCTACTCCCGTTTGAGCGCTTGGTCGTTCTGGCTTTTGATTTCCTCTGCTTGGTGTCCTATAACCAATCGTCCTTCCTATCCACGTCTTCTCGATTGAAAACTGGCCTCGGCAAGGTCTGGGTGCCTTCTTTCGGTGGCCCTTAACCGGTGTCTTCTGTATACCCAGCGCCTCTGGTGAGGATGGGGCTCAAGTCGACACTGCCTTCAGCAGGTACCTTGCCGCAACAAGTATCCAGGTTTCACTTCTCCGAGAATCTCCTGTCTGGCGAAGTACCGTAGCGGTGGTTACTTCAGAGTGGTTCTCCCTGTTTTTCCCTCCTCGGGCGAAGTACTGTAGCGACGGATACTTCAGAATGGTTCTCCCTGTTTTTTCAAGTGGTGCAGAGGCCGCAGCGTGTACCGAGTTCCCTAGAATTGGATACCCCTGTTTGAGGACTTGATGGA